TTTGAGAAGGAGAGCAGAGGAAGACTCAGCTTTGTAAAATAATAATTTTATACTTTGATAAGTGACAAAAATGGGAAAAATAATGCAATTACAATGTATTTTAAAATAAACTAATAACAAATCAACAAATAAGCAGTTTTACTTCTGCCCAGATTCAAGAGCAGAGGAATTAGACTCCACCTATTGGTGGAGGAGTAGCAAGGTCGAATGGGGGATATTTTTGTGAGTATCTTTAGAAAGTACAATCACCATAACCTGTATGTAAAAAACTATAAAGACTCCCAAATACTAAAGAAGATGAATACAAATGCAAGAATATTCCATATTCACAGGTAGAAAAACTAGATATTGTAAAGATATCAATTTCTTCTATAAAACCAATGCAATTCTCAACTTCCCAGCTTTGTCTCAACTTCTCAGCTTTGAAAAGCTGAATCTGAATTTCATGTGAAGGAATAAAGAGCCAAGTATAGCCAAAATACTCCTGAAAAGGAAGCATACTGTGGAACTATTGTACAATCCGATATCAAGGCTTATCTTAAAACTTTCATAATTAAGATAATGTGGAATTTGGTACAGAAATAGACTGACCAGTGGGATAGAATATAAAGATCAGAGACATATGGAATTACATGCATCTTTGGAATTACAATATGCTTCAGAAGTAGCACTGTAGAAATCAGGTAATAGTGACATACAAGTGATTTTAAAAATGGAATAAAATAAGATTTTATTTATGTCTACCTGATACCACCAATTCCAGATGGATTAAAAAACTTGAATGCTAAAAGCTAAATATTTAAATCACTCAATTGATTATATAGAAAAATATCTTCTTGACTCCTCCACGAGAGGAATTCTTGAACAAGACACCAAAGTAGGAACCATAAGATTGGTAACTTAAACTACATTTAAATTAAGAACTTCTTTTTATCAAGATACCATAATGAATGTGACAATATAGCTTTTACTATGTAAATCTAATGATGATAAATCTAAAAAATCGGTGATAATTGTTGATGAAATTATTTGTCCCAAAATAACTTTTACACTAAGTAGCAAAGAAGAAATCCATATACAAAATTCAGAGCAGACATGAAAAAAACTAAGCACATAACTACATCTAACAATAGCTTCAATTTCACTACTTTAATAGCACCTATAAATATTTTATGCCAGATAGAGGTCAATACGGTAAATACATATGCATATTTTAAAAATCAGTAAACAAATACTTTGACCAAAAATAATATCTTAAGCAAATCATGTGATTTGTAAATGATAGATTAAACAGTGAAGATGGTAAGAAATCTAAGTCATAATAATCTCATTAAATCATTAACATGCTCAGTACCATTCAATAATCACCATATCTTGCTGGGTACCAGATGCTGCGGAATATACAAATAGTAGGGGCATAGTCTCTGCTCATTAGGCCTATAATCTAGTTAGCAAGCAGTAAATACAGCTATAGAGAGATAAGTCAAATTTCCACCTAAATTTCAAATCAATCTGTTTTCCTCCATCTCCACTATCTCTAAGCTACTAACATCTATTTCTTGGACCTTTGTAACCCTTCCTAATGATCTCTTGAATTCATTTCATTCTATCCCAATTTAATCACTATACTGCAGCTATAATAACCTTTTTGAAATTCAAGAGGACCACAGGTGTATTCTTTGGAGCGACAGACTCTAGATTCAGAAATACCAGCAGGCATAGGGCTAAAAAACAGAGATTTGTGTGAAAGCCTGTACTGAACAATGAAAGCCTAGAAGCCTTTATTTAATCTGCCTCTATAACTCTGTAAGATAAGCACCTACTTGCCCTAGGGGAAAAATGAGGATTCTTCTTCAGAAAACCAAATAAGAACAACCTCCAGATACCGGTATTTAGAGGTATCCCTAAGGAAAATACCAGCTTGCCCAAACATGCTTAAGTGAAGTCCATCAGAAGACAAGCAATCCACTTTTCAATATCTCAGAAAAACAAACAAACAAAAAAACCTATTACACCCATGGACAAAATGCTATAAAGAAAAGAGAATAAGAAAAAGCTCTTGTAAACTAAATAGCATAATAACAGAAAAAAAGAATTCAAAGAAAAAAGTTAAAGATAAAGCTGAGGGAATCTTTTAGAAAATAGAGCAAATATCAGACAAGTAACCCAAGAGTTCCAACATCCCATAGAACAGGGACTGGCAAATTTTTTCTACAAAGGCCCAGTAAGTAAACAGCTCAGTCTTTGCAGGCCATACAGTCTTGCAACTACTTAACTCTCCTGTTATAGTGTGAAAGCAGCCAAAGAAATTCGTAAGCATATGGAATGGACACAAGGCCAGACGTAGTCTCTGAGCCAAAGTTTGCTGACCTTTAGAAGAAGAAGAAAAAAGCAGCAAAGAGATTAAACACAGAAGAATAAATGACCAAACAAAAATCTAAAAAAATTACCCAGAACTAAAGAACATGAGTTTGTAGAAAGAAACAGTCCAACACAGTGACATCACCATCAAATTTCAGAATACCAGACATGAACTAATTTCAAAACCTCCTAAACAGGGAAAAAACAAAACAAAACAAAAGCAGGTCCTGTGCAAAAAACTGGAAAATCATATGATACTAGCTGTTTTTAAGTATAACACAAAAGAGATAGAAAGGCTTCAATACTGAAAGAGAATTCCAACTAGAATTCTATACCTAGTGAAATTAGCAATCACATGTCAGAGGAGAATTAAGGCATTTTTAAGAAATACAATTACTTCTATTTATCTCCAAGATACCCTTAATTAGAAGGCAACTGCAAGATTACTCCAATAAAAAAACAGAATAAACCAAAAATGAGGAAGACACACTGCCTAGGAAAATAGAGACTTAACACAGAAAGGTGGGAAAGGAAAGTCCCAGAACAGGAGCTGCACAACAAGCCTAGAAAGTCCACATAAGAACTAGGGAAAGAAGAGTTCAGATGAAAATCTTTAAAATAAAGAATCGAACTGATACATTTGAGCATATAAGAAATATTATTGATAGCATGTGACAGAGATGTGAAGCATTTAGAGAAAATTAACCACAGATACAGAGAAAACGAGGCTACTAAAAAATGGGTCAATTACTAACTTTTTAAAAAGTAAAAGGCAGTACTATATTTCACTGTTTGACTTAGCAGAAAATATCTGCATAATCAATGAGTTTATATTACATTAATTTAACCATAAATTGTAATATATGTAATTATATAGGGAAAGTGGAGTAGGAGAGCAAGCTGGGAAGCTAGAGTTCCACCTACCATAAGAAATTAAATAAATAAATAAATAAATAAATAGGCCGGGTGCGGTGGCTCATGCCTGTAATCCCAGCACTTTGGGAGACCGACAGGGGCAGATCACCTGAGGTTGGGAGTTTGAGACCAGCCAGACCAACATGGAGAAACCCCATCTCTACTGAAAATACAAAATTAGCCGGGTGTGGTGGCACATGCCTATAATCCCAGCTACTCGGGAGGCTGAGGCAGGAGAATCCCTTGAACCTGGGAAGCGGAGGTTGCTGTGAGCCGACATAGCGCCACTGCACTCCAGTCTGGGCAACAAGAACGAAACTCCAACCCCCCATCCCCCTAAAAAAAGAAAAGAAATAGAAGACTGGGCGCGGTGACTCATGCCTGTAATCCCAGCACTTTGGGAGGCCGAGGCGGGTGGATCACGAGGCCAAGAGATCAAGACCATGCTGGCCAACATGGTGAAACCCTGTCTCTACGAAAAAATACAAAAATTAGCTGGGCGTGGTGGAACATGCCTGTAGTCCCAGCTACACAGGACTGCTGAGGCAGGAGAATTGCTTGAACCCAGGAGGCAGAAGTTGCAGTGAGCCGAGATCGCGCCACTGCATTCCAGCCTGGTGACAGAGCAAGACTCTGTCTCAAAAAAAAAAAAAACAAAAAAAACAAAAAAAAAACTAAACCTGATTAATCAAGAAATATCAGTCTACACATGTGATTTAGTAATAAAGAGGTAAATTGCAGGGAGAATGGTCAAAAGGATTAACAGTGGTTTGTTCCAAGTAGGAGGACTTGCAAGTGGATGATATGAGATATTATAAGACTTGTATTTGTATTTGGCTTTTAAAACAATGTAAACATATTATTTTTAAAAATTATGTTAAAATAATTAAAATTTATTCTTAAAAAGCAAATAACGAGGCACAGTAGCTCATATCTGTAATCCCAGCACTTTGAGAGGCTGAGGTGGGTGGATCACCAGGTCAGGAATTGGAGACCATCCTGACCAACATGGTGAAACCCTGTCTCTACCAAAAATACAAAAATTAGCTGGGCATGGTGGCATGCGCCTGTAATCCCAGCTACTCAGGAGGCTGAGGCAGGAGATTTGCTGGAACCCAGGAGGCAGAGGTTACAGTGAGCCAAGACAGCCCCACTGCATTCCAGCCTAGCAAATGACTAGTAAAAAATATCTGCAATGCTAATTATAGACAGAAGATCAATATCTTTCAACTTACAAGGAGCTCTCACAAAAGACATCAACATAATATAATATGTACAAATATATTAACAGGCAATTAACAACAAAAAAATTACTGTCAGGACATGTGAAAAAAAGTTCATCCTTCAAAGCATTTACAAATCCAGATTAAAACAACAAAGTGGCTTTATTTTAACCTATCAATTAGCAAAAATTTAAGAAATGGGTAATACCAATGACTTATACATGCTCACAAGCAATGCATTAAAAAGGTTTTTAGAAAATGCATTGCTTGTGAGAGTATAGATGTCAACGTGTCATTTCTGGAGGAAAATTTGGTAATAAAACAAAATCTTAAAAATATGTATAACATGTGATTCAGCAAGTTCTGCTAAAAATGTATCCTCAAGGAAATAGTGACAAATGTGTATAAAAGGATTCAGCTGCAAAGGAAATATTTTAGCAAAATTGTCTAAAGACTGTCTTTTTCCATACTGATTTAGAAGAAAAAATATAACAGCCTTACCTGAACTGTACGTCCTGCATTGATATGCTCTTCATGCAACTTATCCCAGATTCTGCACCTTTGATACTATAAAAGAGAGGAGGGAGGTATTAAATTTTTCATCACTACAGGGTTATTTCCCATTACCACAAAAACCCCCACTCACTCAAACTTAAACATACCAGCTAGCGAAGATAGTGATGTAGTAGTGGTAATTAACTTTCCAAACACATACAAATAGGAAATTATTAAGAACATTGCACACAAAATTATAGAAATTGAAAAATAAACCAAAGAACCCCCACTAGATCAGGCTATTTTATTTTACTAAAAAAGAGTATGTATTTTTTCTATGTTGCAAACTCCCTAGAGGTGGAAAATATAAAGAATGAGAATGTAAAAGAATATAAAAAATAAAAAGTGTTTGTAAGATATTCTTACTGTATATGAAGAATTGTATATGTCTGTCAATGATAGTGTTAAGTATTGAAAACTAAAATCTGAATTTTCAAAAAGTAACACTGAAACTATAGACTACTGAGTAAATAAAAATGAGACTGAACTTTTAATATATATGTTAATTTTTACCAAGGCAATTTTTAGCTTTCAGAGTATCATACAAAAAAATTTATGAACATAATGATGGGAATTTTTTTACTTGATAAAAACCATAAGAATATGTGATAACATTACAGCAAAATATTTACATGGAATATAAACATCAACACCAACTATATTATTTTTAGTTGAAATTTAAAAATCAAATAATTAAAATATTAGCAGATGTGAATACATTAAACATGTTTTTGATACTTTACACATCCCCCCAAAAAAATCAACCTAGAAATAATTAGAAAGGACAGAAATATGAAAATGCCCCATATGCATGGAAAACATAGATTATAAGAGTAGAACACTAAAAAAATTTCTAGGGCATTTTTATATTCTTTGTTCTGCACATTCTTAAAATTTGGTAAAGAATGATGCAAAAGGCATCATTACATGGTGGTTCACACCTGTAATCACAGCACTTTGGAAGGCCGAGGTGGGCAAATCACAAGGTCAGGAATTCAAGACCAGCCTGGCCAATATGGTGAAACCCTGTCTCCATTTTAAAAATTACAAAAATAAGCTGGGTGTGGTGGCACACAGCTGCAGTCCCAGCTACTTGGGAGGCTGAGGCAGGAGAATCATTTAAACCAGAGAGGCAGAGGCTTCAGTGAGCCAAGATCATGCCACTACACTCCAGCCTGGGTGACAGTGAGACTCCATCTCAAAAAACAAACAAAACAAAACAAAACAAAACAAAAATTCTTTAAAGATAATGGCAATAAAAAATAATTGCCATGCATGCAAAAAAGCAGAATAATATGATCTGCAATAAGAAAAACCAATGAATAGAAACAGACCCTGATATAACAGAGATGATGGAATCAATAAACAAGTATATTAAAAACAGTTATTATGATGTGTTCCATGTATTCAAGAAGGTAGAATAAAATATAAGCACATTAGAACAGACATAAAAGATACTTTAAAATATTAAATTGCCGGGCGTGGTGGCTCAAGCCTGTAATCCCAGCACTTTGGGAGGCCGAGGAGGGTGGATCATGAGGTCAAGAGATCGAGACCATCCTGGTCAATATGGTGAAACCCCATCTCTACTAAAAATACAAAAAAAAGTAGCTGGGCATGGTGGCACATGCCTGTAATCCGAGCTACTCAGGAGGCTGAGGCAGGAGAATTGCCTGAAGCCAGGAGGCGGAGGTTGCAGTGAGCCGAGATCGCGCCATTGCACTCCAGCCTGGGTAACAAGAGCAAAACTCCATCTCAAAAAAAAAAAAAAAAAAAAAATTAAATTAATAGAGTTTTTTTTTAAAGTACCTGAAATTTAAAAATGCAATAGCAGATAAGACAATGCAGAAGAAAAGATCAGTAAACCTAAGGACACAGCAATAGAAACTATCCAAAATGAAACACACAGAGAAAAGTAAGTTGAAAATAAATAAGCAAAGATCAGTGAATCATGGGCCAAATGAAAACAACATAAAATACATGTAACTGGACTCCATGAGAGAAAAATAATTTGAAAATGTAATGGCCAAAGTTTTTCCAAATTTGAGAAAAATAATAAAACCATAGATCAAAGAAAAATGAAGAAAACTATACTAATGCACATTATAGTAAAATAACTTAAAATAAATAAAGAAATAAATCTTAAAAGCAGAGAGAAAAAAGACACATGAAATACCAAGAAACAAAGATAAGAATGACAGAAGACTTCTTGTGAGAAACAATGTAAGCCAGAAGACAGTAGGACATCTTGAAAGCATTTGAAAACAATAGAAAACACAACCTAGAATTCTATAACCAGAGAAAGTTTTTTTAAAATAAAGACAAAATACATTTTTTAAACATTAAAAAGCTGATAGAATTTATCACCAGCAGAAAGGTGTGCTACAAGAAATGTTTTAAAAAGTTCAAGTTGATGGAAAAGGGATACCTGACAGAAACTTGGTTCTACACAAAAAAATAAAGAGCACTGAAAATGGCACATACAGATATATATGTAAATATAAATATTTTTCCTTATTTTTACAATCTCTTTGAAAGATAACACAATGTAAAGCAAAAATAACAACAACAAATGGGGTTGACAATATATGCAGAAGTAAAATGTGTAACAACCATAGTGCAAAGACCCTAAGAGAGGAACTGGAAGTATATTATCAAAAAGTTATTATAACATATGTGAAGTGAAACATTACTTGAAGGTAGACTTTGATGTTAAAGATGTATACTCTAAACCATAAAGCAACCACTGAAAAATAAAAGTTAAAAACCAAGAGGTATAATAAGCCAGCCAAAGAAAAAAATTGAATCATAAAAAATATTAATCCAGCCGGGCGCGGTGGCTCAAGCCTGTAATCCCAGCACTTTGGGAGGCTGAGGCGGGTGGATCACAAGGTCAAGAGATCGAGACCATCCTGGTCAACATGGTGAAACCCCGTCTCTACTAAAAATACAAAAAAATTAGCTGGGCATGGTGGCACGTGCCTGTAATCCCAGCTACTCAGGAGGCTGAGGCAGGAGAATTGCCCGAACCCAGGAGGCAGAGGTTGCGGTGAGCCGAGATCGCGCCATTGCACTCTAGCCTGGGTAAGGAGTGAAACTCCATCTCAAAAAAAAAAAAAAATTAATCCAAAAGCAAGAAGGAAAAGGGAACAAAGAACAGACGGAAAAAGAGACAAAAATAGCAAGACTTAAGACAATCATTTGACAAAATTGAATATTTATTCATTATAAAAACTCTCAACAAACTAAAAAATGGAAGTTAACTTCCTCAATCTGATAGCAAGCATCTACAAAAACCCTACACTTAACATCATACTTAGCGGTCAAAGACCATTGTCTAATACTGGGAAGAAGGTAAGGTTGTCTGATCTCACCACTCTCACTCAACTTCTTACTGGAGGCCCCAGCCAGTGTAATAAGGTTAAAAAAGGAAGGAAGGGAAGAAGGGAGAGAGGATAACTTGAGAGACATATCTTCAACTCCCTTCTTGTCTCCTTGATGTTCTCGTCCATCAAGAATATGCCCTTTTTGGTTGTTATAGTTTGACAGTAGAGAAGGACAATTTTAATTAGTTCAATCAATATCTATTGAGCACGTATCATGTGACAGGCATTAGAAATAAAGATAGGCATTGGAGAAAATGTCAAAGTCCTTGCCTCCTTCAGTCTACAGTCAGGAAGGCAGTAAATATCCCTCATTGGCACAATATTTTGTACCCTTCCACCCTCACCAGATACAGTCACATCTTCCAATACACACATTGACTCCTGACCCCTTTGGGTAAATAAAAAATTAAAATCTTTGATGATCAGGAGATAAATAACCTGAAAGGCAAAAACAAAAACAAAAAACATGTGAATGTTAAATCTATAAACCTGAAGGTCTGTGGCCCAGTAAGGGTGGTATGTTTATATCTGACTGGGAATGGTATCTTCAGGACATGTGGAATAGGGAGAAAATGAGTTATGCAATAAACAGTGTTAAAAGGTGACAAATGATAGGGTGCCTATTGTCAATGGATGCAAGAGAGAAAGCAAAATTATTTGACTCCAAATTTTTCCCACCTTCCTTCTTTATTGAGGAAAATGATCTTCCAAATATAAAAATCTAAAATAAAATGATTAAGAGGAAAATAAAAACAAAGGAAGATTAAGAACAAATCTAGATACTTCAAATGAGTCGAAGTCAACAGGCCCAGGGAAATTACATTCGAGAGAACCAAAAGACCTTGCAAATGTGATCACAGAAATATTTCTGCTTGTCTGTGAAGAACTGTGAAGAATTGGTAATGTTCCTAGAGACTTGCAAATATTGACCCAATTTTCACAAAAGAAGTATATTTAAAACACTGCAGGCTGTAAATCTTAATGAGAGTCTTGGAGAAAATTCTATACTAGATAATTAGAGAGATGGTTTGGAAGAACATGTAGAAATGGTGACAGTATACCAGCATGCTCTGGCCCTTTCCTGTCCAACATTTTCATCAATGACTTCAAAATAAAGAATGCATAATTATCAAAATTACACATAACAAAAATTAGAAAGATTAACATAGATGAAAGATCACAATTCTACATAATAACAAATATAACAATGATAACTGTAAAGTCCAGCGTATAAATTAAAAAGAGCAATTGCACCAGTATAAGAAATAGGTATGATCTGGTTCAACAGCTCTAGTTCATAATTTTTAAAAAAGTCTTGTGGAATTTATTTAGTTGATTACAAAGTCAATTTAAAAAGCTGGCAGTATAGAATGGCTTCTAAAATGATTGATGTAATCTTAGGTTCTATACATGCACATGTATATTCATTCATTCAACCCACTTTTTTTCAGAAGCACACTACATTTCAAGCACATTAGAAGTTTAACACATTTACTAACATAGGGATCTCAAGCAAGTAATTAAATCTTTCTCCACCTAAAAAGCGAAGGCAACAATAACTAACCTATAACAATGCTATAAGGATTAAATGTGATGATATATAAAAACGCCTAACATAACACTCAG